AATTCAATTAATTTGAAATATTTCAAAAATTTAAACACAAAAGCCTACGGATAACATAACATGCTGTAAATGTTAGAGAAACTGGCTATAATCAATGTAAGACACACAGGCGGATCTCTGCTGGACCACAGTGTGTGTGAGAGGCTGGAGTACAGAGTGGAGACTGGCACTAGGCTTCTAAAGAAGTTTCTACTGGATTTTCAATGCCTGAGGTGCAAACAGAGGGCAAGCCAGGTACTGCTTGCAGCCTGGGCTCTGGCAGCAGTGCTTGACCTCTCCTTTCCCCTCCCCCCAGTAACCTGCTAAGACAGTGGACATTCTAGAAGCAGGGCCATCTAATCCATTTGGCCCAGAGGCATAGCACATAGAATCTATGGGAATTTAGAGAGCCTGTGAAAATATCTTAAGTTCTTTTCAAGTTAGAAGAAAAGTTTGAATTTTTAGGTTTAAAAAGTTATCATTTCTTGTATTAATGTGTTTCGTATTTATACCAAGTCACTCAAAATTGAGAGTGTGTGTGTGTGTGGTGCTGGAGACTGAATCCAGGACCTCCCCCTCTACCATCTGAACCATGCCCCCAGTCCTTTCGTTTGTTGAGGCTGGACTCAACTTGAGATCCTCCTGCCTCTGCCTCCTAAGTAGCTGGGATTACAAACATGTACCAACATACCTGGCCAAGAAAGGCAAAAGTATCTAGGATCCTTAAAGTCGCAATTTGCACTCTTCTCCCTTGTTTGCTGTACCAGGAGCTCCAAAGTTTCCGGGCCAGTGGCCCAGGCGAGGTCACCGTAGAAATGGACGCTACGCCAGGAGTGGACCTCACCAAGATCCTCAACGACACGAGGGCCCAGTACGAAACCATGGCGGAGCAGAATCGGAAGGACGCCGAGGCCTGGTACCTGGAAAAGGTAACAAGAAAACAAAAGGTTTGGATACATTCACAGGAAGAGGCGAGCCCGCTCAGCGCTCGCCCCCTCCACCCTCTCTGCTATTGCAGAGTGGGGAGCTCAGGAAGGAGATCAGCACCAACACCGAGCAGCTCCAGTCCAGCAAGAACGAGGTCACGGATCTGAGGCGCACGCTCCAAAACCTGGAGCTCGAGCTCCAGTCCCAGCTCGCCACGGTAAGCTCGCGTGCCACTCAGCGTCGTGTGGGCTCCCAAAGACCGTGTTGCCTCTGCAGTGCGTTAGACCATGAGAGGCCCTCCTCTATTCGGTCCCCTCCATTGTGCTGTCTGTACCGTTTCCATCCCACGTGCAGAAGAAGTCCCTGGAGGAGTCGTTGGCGGGAACCGAGGGCGGATACTGCGGCCAGCTGTCCCAGGTGCAGCAGCTCATCGGCAACCTGGAGGAGCAGCTGCAGCAGGTGCGCGCGGACACTGAGCGCCAGAACGCCGAGCACCAGCGGCTGCTGAACGTCAAGGCCCGCCTGGAGCTGGAGATCGACACCTACCGCCGCCTGCTGGACGGGGAGGCCCAAGGGTGAGTCCGCAAAGGAGTTGAAAATGCTTCAGGGGCTGATGGACCGTAGACGGATGCAGATCCGTTGTTTCTGCAGTAGAAAATAACAAAGCTTAGTTGATAGAAAATAGCAGCTCTTTCCAGGCACGGCGGCGCTTGGCTCTCATTCCATCTTTTGGGGGCTGAGGCAGGAGGATCGTGAGTTCCAGACCAGCCTTGGCTACATAGTGAGACCTTGTCTCAAAAAAAAAGAAAGGGAGAGAAGTAGGGAGGGAGGGAGGAAGGGAAAAAAGGAAGGAAGGAAGGAAGGGAAATACATTGCCTGGGATTTATTAAATACTGTGCAAAATGTTTTCACCCATTATCTTACTTGATAATAATTCATAAAATGCTGCAATGAGCAAAGGTATCACAGACAGAGCTAACTGTAAATGAATACTGGCATGTTCTAGAAAAACCTCCCATTCAATGACCTGATGCTAAGGATGACATGTCAAACAGTAGCCATCTGAACCATCTCAGACTTACTGTAGCAAAACTTCCAAAAGGAATAGCAGTCTGGACTGAAGGAGAAGAACTCAAGATAGTAAATTGGGGGATCTAATTTCTGAGGCTGCATCTTCCATGAATTTCCAGGAGGCTTCATCTTGAGAGCCCATTTTAGGCAGGGTTTGAAAACAAGGGTGTATCAAACTAATTGATTACTTTCAGAGTGCATCCTTCATCCAAGAAATTTGGAATACCTTCTCTATTTGACCATAATTTTATGCACTTTTCTAACTTTTAGCTCAAATAGTGAATTCTTTTATATCTTCTCGTTCCAGCAAGCATCACATGAGGTCTATCCTTTGTTCTCTTTACAGTGATGGTTTTGATGAAAGCTCATCTGTGACCAGCTCCAAGTCTCAAACGCAGTCAATTGATTCCTCTAAAGGTATGCAGATGTGAATCACTGAAAATAAGTCAGAATCACACCTATTAATGACTAAAACTGTAAGCTCTCATCAAATACTACACTATTGACAACTTAAAGTATACTTGTATTCTTTGCCAAGGAAAAACATTTATGTATTCTTACATCAAAATGAATAGTGTGCCATCTCTTAAAGCATTTGGCAAGCTCAGCAGGGGGAAAAAAACCCTCTCTATAAAGATGTCTTAAGAGCACCACAACCACTTTTAAATGTTTAGAAAAATATGTGGGGTGTTGTGGTTCACACCTGTAATTCCAGCACTCTGGAGACAGGAGCAGATGGATCAGGAGTTTGAGGCCACCCTGGGCTACATAGTGAGACCCTATCTCAAAGAAAAAAATGAGAAATATTTTCATATATGCACAACACTGAATATGTTTCATTTTCACTGGATAAAACACATTTTTATAATATAAGTCACTTTGAAGGTTTTCATTTGATAGATTTATATCAGAAATTACCCAATTGTAGAAAGCTTACTGTAAACAAAATCGTATTTGTATTTAATATTGAAATACTAATGCTTTCTCCCTTTTATTCAATTTTTATCTTTAGATCCAAATAAAACCCGAAAAATCAAGACAATTGTGCAGGAGGTAGTGAATGGTGAAGTGGTCTCATCCCAAGTTCAAGAAATTGAAGAACTGATATAAAATTTCACAAGATTTAAATTTTTTTGTTTTCTACATTGATTGGGTTCCTTTTGAAATGAACGGAAATTTACAACTAGAAATTATTTCTTTCAGAATAAGATGTCCTAGTAGTTCAATCTCTATTTTGGTCTGTTTCATTTTCTCTGGATTCCCTATCCACATTGAGACCTTTTTGCCTTTCTGAGACAGTATTCAAGTTCAAATTCCTATGACCATGCTGATCTTTGTTACAAAGAAATATCAGCTTACATCTTTCTGAACCTAGAGTGGTCTTCTAAAGAATTTTCTTCTGGTGACCTGGACCTTTTTTTTTAATCACAGAGTTTGATGAGGAATTGTTTTAATAGAGGTAACTTTAATAAAATACTACTAGAAATAATATGAACTGTGTGCCTTCTTGATGCCAACAATAAGATTGAGGGCATAAAAAGAAGTTTTGAACTATTAACAATAAAGTAGGTAAACACGATACAAAGATGTAAGGGTTGGAGATTAAGTTAAGAAGATTCTTTTTTTTTCATTAGATTTCTGACTAGCTATTTCTTTTTTTTTATTTTATTATTCATATGTGCATACAAGGCTTGGGTCATTTCTCCCCCCTGCCCCACCCCCTCCCTTACCACCCACTCACCCCCTCCCTCTCCCCCACCCCTCAATACCCAGCAGAAACTATTTTGCCCTTATTTCTAATTTTGTTGTAGAGAGAGTATAAGCAATAATAGGAAGGAACAAGGGTTTTTGCTGTTGAGATAAGGATAGCTATAGGGCATTGACTCACATTTTTCCTGTGTGTGTTACCTTTCTAGGTTAATTTTTTGATCTAACCTTTTCTCTAGTTCCTGTCCCCTTCTCCTATTGGCCTCAGTTGCTTTTAAGTATCTGCTTTAGTTTCTCTGCTTGAGGGCAACAAATGCTAGCTAGTTTTTTAGGTGTCTTACCTATCCTCACCCCTCCCTTGTGTGCTCTCGCTTTATCATGTGCTCAAAGTCCAATCCCCTTGTTGTGTTTGCCCTTGATCTAATGTCCACATATGAGGGAGAACATACGATTTTTGGTCTTTTGGGCCAGGCTAACCTCACTCAGAATGATGTTCTCCAATTCCATCCATTTACCAGCGAATGATAACATTTCGTTCTTCTTCATGGCTGCATAAAATTCCATTGTGTAAGATACCACATTTTCTTAATCCATTCGTCAGTGGTGGGGCATCTTGGCTGTTTCCATAACTTGGCTATTGTGAATAGTGCGCAATAAACATGGGTGTGCAGGTGCCTCTGGAGTAACCTGTGTCACAGTCTTTTGGGTATATCCCCAAGAGTCCTTAAAGTTTCTGCATTAGTTTCTCTGCATTGAGGGCACAAATGCTATCTTGTTTTTGGGTGTTTCCTATCCTCATACCCTTGTGTGCTCTCAGTTTATCAAGTGATCAAAGTCTAATCCTTGTTGTGCTTCCCTGATCTAAAGTCAAATATGAGGGAGAACATACGATTTTGGGTTTTTGGGCAGGCAACCTCATCACATGATGTTCTCCAATTCATCCTTTACCAGAGAGAATGTAACATTTCGCTCTTATTCATGGCTGCAATAAAAAATCCATTGTGTATAGAATACCGACATTTTCATTAATACAATTCGTCAGTGGTGGGTGCATCTCTTGGCTGTTTCATAATTGTATTGTGAATAGTACGAATAAAACATGGGTGTTGCAGGTGCCTCTGGAGTAACCTGTGTACAGTCCTTTGGGTATATCCCCAAGAGTGGTATTTGCTGGATCAAATGGTAGATCAATGTTTAGCTTTTTTAAGTAGCCTCCAAATTTTTTCCAGAGTGGTTGTACTAGTTTACATTCCACAGCAGTGTAACGAGGGTTCCTTTCCCCCCGATGCCTCCTAGCTTTGTTGGTGGTGTTGCTGATGAATGGCGTATTCTAAAGGGGTGAGGTGGAATCTTAGTGTGGGTTTAATTTGCATTTTCCTTTATCGCTAGAGATGGTGAGCATTTTTTCATGTGTTTTTTGGCCATTTGAATTTCTTCTTTTGAGAAAGTTCTGTTTAGTTCACTTGCCATTTCTTTAATTGGTTCATTAGTTTTGGGAAATTTAGTTTTTTAAGTTCCCTATATTTGGTTATCAGTCCTTTGTCTGATGTATAGTGGCAAATATTTTCTCCACTCTGTGGGTGGTTCTCTTCAGTTTAGGACCATTTCTTTTGTTGAGCAAAGCTTTTTAGCTTTATGAGGTCCCATTTATCTATGCTACTCTTAGTTGCTGTGCTGGGGTTTGTTGAGAAAGTTCTTACCTATACCTACTAACCAGAGTATTTCCTACTCTTTCCTGTACAACTTTAGAGTTTGGGGTCTGATATTAAGATCCTTGATCCATTTGAGTTAATCTTGGTATAGGTGATATACATGGATCTAGTTTCAGTTTTTGCAGACTGCTAACAGTTTTCCCCAGCAGTTTTTGTTGAAGAGGGCTGCTATTTCTCCATCGTATTTTTTAGCTCCTTTGTCAAAGACAAGTTGGTTATGAGTTGTGTGGCTTCATATTGGGCTCTATCGTTCCACTGGTCTTCAGTCTGTTTTTGTGCCAGTACCATGCTGTTTTTTATTGTTATTGCTTTGTAATAGTTGAAGTCAGGTATTGTGATACCTCCATGCTGTTCTTTTGACTGAGTATTGCTTGGTATTCGGCCTTTTGTGTTTCCATATAAATTTCAACGGTAGATTTTTCAATCTCTTTAATGAATGTCATTGGATTTTGATGGAATTGCATTAAACATGTAGATTACTTTTGGGAGTATCGACATTTTTACTATGTTGATTCTACCAATCCATGAGCATGGGAGATCTCTCACTTTCTATAGTCTTCAATTCTTTCTTCAGAAGTGTATAGTTTTCCTGTAGAGGTCTTCACATCTTTTGTAGGTGTACACCTAGGTATTTGATTTTTTTGAGGCTATTGTAAATGGAATTGTTTTCATACATTCTTTTTCAGTTTGCTCATTGTTAGTGTATAGAAATGCTAATGATTTTCTATGTTGATTTTATATCTGCTTTGCTATGATGATAGAAGCTTGAGTAGAGTTTTTGGGTCTTTAAGGTATAGGATCATGTCGTCTGCAAATAGGGATATTTTGACAGTTTCTTTACCTATTTGTATTCCTTTTATTCTTCTTCTTGCCTAATTGCTCTGGCTAGGAATTCCAGTACTATGTTGAATAGAGTGGAGATAGTGGGCATCCTGTCTGGTTCCTGATTTTAGAGGAATGGTTTCAGTTTTTCTCCTTAAGTATAATGCTGCTGTAGGTTTGTCATATATAGGCTTTTATAATGTTGAGGTACTTTCCTTCTATTCCTAGTTTTCTTAGAGCTTTTATCATGAAATGTGTTGGATCTTATCAAAGGTTTTTCTGCATCTATTGAGATGATCAAGTGGTTTTTGTCTTTGCTTCTGTTAATGTGGTTTTATTATTTTATGTGATTTTCATATGTTGAACCACCCTGCATCCTGGGATGAAGCCTACTTGGTCGTGGTGAATATCTTTTTGATGTGTTGTGAATTCGGTTTGCCATTATTTTGTTGAGGATTTTTGCATCAATGTTCATTAAGGAGATTGGCCTATAGTTCTCCTTTTTGGAGGTGTCTTTGCTGGTTTGGGATAAGTGTAATACTGGCTTCATAAAATGTGTTGGCAGTTTTCCTTCCTTTCTATTTCAATGGAGCAGTTTAAGGAGGGTTGGTATCAGTTCTTCTTTAAAGGTTGATGAATTCAGCAGAGAATCCATCAGGTCCTGGACTTTTCTTTTTGGGGAGACTCTTGATTGCTGCTTCAATTTCATTTTGTTATAGATATATTCAGGTGATAATTTCCTCTTGGTTCAGTTTTGGATGATCATATGATCTAGAAATCTCGTCCATTTCTTTAGATTTTCAAATTTATTTGAATATAGGTTCTCAAGTAGTCTCTGATGATTTCCTGGACTTTCAGTGGTGTTTGTGTTATCTCCCCTTTTGCATTCCTGATTCTACTAATTTGGGTTTTTCTCTCCTCATTTAGTCAGGTTTGCCAGGGGTCTATCTCTTGTTTATTTTTCAAAGAACCAACTTTTTGTTCATTAATTCTTTGTATGGTTTTTTTTGGTTTCTATTTCATTGATTTCAGCTCTTATTTTTATTATTTCTCTCCTTTATTTGTTTTGGATTTGCTTGTTCTTGTTTTTCTAGGAGTTTGAGATGTATCATTAGGTCATTGATTTGGGATCTTTCAGTCTTTTTAATATATGCACTCATGGCTATAAACTTTCCTCTCAGACTGCCTTGCTGTGTCCCATAGGTTCCAGGTAGGTTTGTTTTCATTTTCATTGACTTCCAGAACTTTTTAATTTCCTCTTTTATTTCATCGATGATCCATTCTTCATTAAGTAATGAGTTATTTAGTTTCCAGCTGTTTGCATGTTTTTGTCTTTACTTTTGTTGTTGAGTTCTACTTTTACTGCATTGTGATCAGATAGTGCATGGTATAATTTCTATTTTCTTATATTTGCTGAGACTTGCTTTGTGCCTAGATAGATCTTTTGGAGAAGGTTCCATGGGCTGCTGAGAAGATGTAATTGTGTAGAAGTTGGATGAAATGTTCTGTAGACATCAACTAGGTCATTTGATCTATTGCATATTTTAGATCTTGGATTTCTTTATTGATTTTTTGTTTGGATGACTATCTATTGATGATAATGGGGTGTTAAAGTCTCCCACGAACTGTTTGGCGTTTATATGCTTTTAGTCTTTCAGGGTATGTTTGATGAAATTGGGTGTTGACATTGGGTGCATAAGGTTGATAAGATTTTTTTTCTTTTGGTCTATTTCCCCTTTTTTAGTATGGAATGTCCTTCTTTTCTCTCGTTTATCAATGTAGGTTGAAGTCTACTTTGTCAGAGATAAGTATTGCTACTCCTGCCTGTTTTTGGGGGCCATTGGCTTGGTAATTTTCCAGCTTTCATCC